TTGGTATTTTCATGCAAATTCTTCTGCTAGTTGGGGTTTAGTCCACTTTTATATCCTTCCCTTCAAGGCTCAGGGGTCCTGGATTATCATCTGTGTCTGTGTTAATCGGTTTCCCTTTTCTTTGTTGAAGAGGGTCTGTGCAGTCTTTCTGCCTAGTCCGCCATCTTATCGGAGCCAGCAAGTTCAGTATTATTAATCACAACAAGGCCAGGGGCCGCTGCAGAGCAGACCATCAATTGCTTTATATGCAAGTTAACCTTGATGATAAAGAATTTAAAATAAATATACAATAGCCAAAGTACAACACCTAGTATTTTCCACTTGAATTTAGAGACTATCTGAAGAATAGATTTAACACATTGAACACTGAAGACCAAAAACCAGATAAGTTTTGAGATGATATCAAGGACATCATACATGAAGAAAGCAAAGGTCATTAAAGAGACAGGAAAAAATTAAAAGACTCTGAAGCTTGCTCTGGAACATAGGGTAGCTAAACTGAGTGGAAGAAATCATGAAGAAAAAGAGCTGCACATAACATTTCAAAGGACAGCTCAAGTAGACAAAGTAAAAATATTATAATGAAAGGTGCAAAACCTGAAGTTAGAAAACCAAAAGGAAGAATATGCTCAGCATTTCTCAAGCTGACAGAACTGAAGAAAAAATTCAAGCTTTGGGTTGTAATAATGGATTTTATGGCCAAAATATTGAATGAGGCAGGAAGCATCAAAAGAAGATGCAAGGAATACACAGAATCAGTTTTCCAAAAAGAACTGACCTGCGTTCAACCATTTTAGGAGGTTGCATATATGTATGATCAAGAATCCATGATACTGAAGGAAGAAGTTTAAACTGCACTAAAGTAATTGTTAGAAAACAAGGCTCCAGAAATTGACAGAATAGCGATTGAGATATTTCAGCAAATGAATGCAGTGCTGGAAGTGGTCACTTGTCTATGCCAAGAAATTAGGATGAGAGCTACCTAGCCAACTGCCTAGAAGATAAGCATATTTATGCACATTCCAAAGAAAAGTCATCCAAAGAAAATTATCAACCAATATCATTAATGTCACTTGCAAGTAAAATTTTGCTAAAGATAGTTCAAAAAAATTTGCAACAGTACATTGACAGAGAACTGCCAGAAATTCAAGCCATTCAAAAAAGGACTTGAATAAGGAATACCATTGCTGATGTCAGATAGATCTTGGCTGAAATCAAAGAATACCAGAAAGATATTAAACTATGTTTTATTAACTATAGAAAGGGAATAGACTATGCACACCATAACAAATTATGTATAACATTGTGAAGAATGAGAATTCCTGAACACTTACTTATGCCCCTGTGGAATCTGTACATCAACTCAGAGACAGTTATTGGAATAGAATAAGGGAATGGTGTAAGGCCACAGTAAGGAGAAAAGGATGCACAAAAGTGAGGTTAAAGAGAAGTTTTTATTCTGAGTTTCTGGGGGAGGTTTACAGGGCCCCGAGAGGGGCCCGGGCGCGGTTCACGGGTCCCTGAGAGGGGTCCGGGAAGTCGCACCGCTTGGCTGGGGAGGGGAGGGTTTATAGTCTTGTGGAGGACCTAAGTGGGGACACTAAGGAAATGGTGGGGTCCAATTAGCTATTAGCATGGGTCTGCACTTAATTAGCATGAGGGGGCTTCACAAGAGGAAGTTTGCCACTGCATGGGACTTTCCAGTCTGGGCAGGTTCTGTTACTTCCGTTGTCTTATCAGGCTGTCTCATCAGGGCTTGACGACCGGAGGAAGTTGCTAACTGAAATGTTGGTGCTTTGGGTTTGCTTCGGCCTAACAAATGGTTTAAAATCAGAAAAGGCGTTTGTCAGGGTTGTATTATTTCACTGTATTTATTCAATAGGTATGCTGCACAAATAATCCAAGAAGCTAAGCAACATGAGAAATGTAACATCAAGATTGGAAGAGGAATCATTAACGACCTTACTTGCTGAAAGTGAAGAGAACTTGAAGCACTTACTGATGAAGGTCTAGAGTATATCTCAACATAAACAAAACAAAAATTCTCACAACTGGACCAATAAACAACAACATGATAAATAGAGACAACATTCATGTTGTCAAGGATTTCATTTAACTAGGATCCACAATCAATATCCAAAGAAGTAGCAGTCAAGAAATCAAATTATGTGTTGTATTGGACAAATCTGCTGCAAAAAAACCTCTTTAAAGTGTTAAAAGGCAAATATACCACCCTGAGGACTAAGGTGTGCCTGACCCAAGCTATGATACTTTCAATCACCTCATATACATGTGAAAGCTGGAAAATGATAACCTAAGAAGAATTGATGCATTTGAATTATAGTTTTGATGAAGAATACTGACTATATCATGGACTGCCTGAAGAACAAACAAATCTGTATCAGAAGCAGTATAGCCAGAATGCTCCTTAGAAACAAGGATGCTGAGGCTTCATCTCAATTCTTTGGATGTGTTATCAAGAGCGATCACTCAGTGGAGAAGGACATAATTCAAAGTAGAGGATTTGTGTAAAGAGGAAGAACTTTATGAGATGGATTGATGCAGTGACTGCAACAATGGGTTCAAACATAGCAACAATTGCAAGAATGATGTAGCGTTGGGCACTGTTCCATTCTGTTGTATTCAATGGCAACTAACAACAAAGACAGGAGAGTAGAAGTCCCTGGGTGGCATCAATGATTTGTACTTTACTGACCTAATGTTGGAGGTTCAAACCCACTCAGTAACACCACATGGAAGAGAGGCCTAGAGATCTGTGAATATTACAGCCCCCAAACCCTACAGAACACAGTTCTATTCTGTAACAGATTGAAGTCACCATGAGTTGGAATCTAAGAGCTCTGTTGATGCTGTGATTAAGGTATTGGGCTGCTAACCAAACACTTTGTGGTTTGAACCCACTAGTCACTCTGTGGGACAAAGATGAAGCAGTCTGCTTCCATAAAGATTTAAAACATTGAAAACACCATGGAGGTCACGATATATCAAAATTGGTTAGATGGCAGTGGTGGGTGGGTAAGTTGGAATCAACTCTAAGGCAAAGGATTTTGTTTGTTTGTTTATGAAGAGGTAAAGCAGAATCTGTTACTGAGGACTTGGATTTATAAACCCAAAAGGGTGATCTTTTCTTAGCCTGTTCCATGTACCAAGTTATATTCTCTAAATGTGATAACAGTTACTCTAAGCAGGCTCTATGTACATATATATGAATATGTGCCTCTATACAAGATGAATCTCTATACAAGATGAGTCTAATATAATGGCCAGTGAGGCTAACAGTACCCAGTGATTCCTGTCTTATTTTTTGCATCTTGTTGTGATCTTAAGGAGCTCTGGTGGCATGGTGGTTAAAGCATTGGGCTGCTAATCCAAAGGTCAGCAGTCTGAACCCATAAGCCGTTCCATGGGGAAAGATAAGGCAATCTACTTCCATCAAATTTTACAGCCTTGGAAACCCTATGAGGCAGTTCTATTCTGTTCTATAGGGTTGCTATGAGTCAAAATCAACTTGCTGTCAATGGGTTTGGTTTTTGGTTTTACAGTGATCTTAGTAATAAAGTTCTGTTGTAGGATAGGAAAATACATTTATTCAATATAGGTATACTTTTTTGTTTAGAACTTCTAACCCAGAAATCTCAATTGCATACATTTATTCAGTTCTATGTAGTGGTAGGTTATGTTTATAATTATAATCCAAGATACTTCGTGGCTTTTTGATTCACTATGGCAGCCCAAAGTATGTTCATTATAGCTTTAGCATTAAGTGAATTTAATTGCATTATGAATCTCTGTACACTGACAATTGTTGCCATATATAGAAACTGTGAAGAGTCCCAAATATTACATTAATTTGAATATCCCATTTGCAAACTATTCCAAATGTAAGCTATAATTGAATTTAGTGCTAGAAAAAAAATCATAAATAGACTAGAGCAAATGTATTTATCAGTATGCATTTATTACTGTGTTGGTGACAATTCTATGAACATTATATTTGCAACATATTTTGATTTGAGCTTATATCGTATGATAAAATTTTCTAAAATATAATAATTAATAAAAAAAAAGTAATTGAGCATTGTGACGAGCTATCAAACAGTACATTCCTAATGTTAGTAGGTGTTCTTCTAAATTAAAATCACATGGCCTTCTCTTTTCATTGTCTCATGGAAAATCATAGATGCAAGTTAAATCTTATTTAAAATATTGTTATCAATGGTTCCTTGATACGGTAATCACAGAGTACATTTTTGTGGGTGAAAATGCCCACTAAAATCAATTGTTCTTAAGGTTAATAGATTTCTCAGTTTTTATTTGGTTTCTATATTTTAGAGTTTATAACTTTATGATTACTTTCTTGTTTTATTGGCAGAGTTTTTCCGAGAGCTCCTGGAGAACGCAGAAAAGTCACTCAATGATATGTTTGTAAGGACCTATGGAATGCTGTACACGCAGAACTCAGAAGTGTTCCAGGACCTCTTCACGGAGCTTAAAAGATATTACACGGGGGGCAATGTGAATCTGGAGGAGATGCTCAATGACTTTTGGGCTCGGCTTCTGGAACGGATGTTTCAGCTGATAAACCCTCAGTATCACTTCAGTGAGGACTACTTGGAATGTGTGAGCAAATACACAGACCAGCTGAAGCCATTTGGCGATGTGCCCCGGAAACTGAAGATTCAGGTCACTCGCGCATTCATTGCCGCCCGCACCTTTGTCCAGGGACTGACAGTGGGCAGAGAAGTTGCAAATCGAGTTTCCAAGGTAAGTGAAAAGTTAAAAGTTTTTCTAATTGGTATTCTCTTACTCTGTTTTTTAAAACAAACATTGGAAAACATCAAGTAAAATGTCTCATTTACAGAGCTCTTTGCTTTTAAAGAAATCAGCAAAATGTCAAAGCTTAGTTTTGTGTTTTTTTCTTGTTGTTGTTCATTGCTTTGTGTGAGAAAAGACAGGATTTCAAGCAGTTCCATGTTGCTTAGAACATAATGTCAATATTTATCAGCAATATAGCAAAGGAGCTTTTGTCAGGACTACTGCCAAAAACAGGTGTCTTGCAACCATAATCACTTGGCATTTCTGATCAGCGTTTTAAGGATGATAAATACTTATGAAACACTCCATTTGAGGTTATAATCCTCCAGGAAGTCACAAGGTGACAGTTTTCATTGGTTCTGCAAGTAGAGACAAGTTGTTCTTCAAAACACCAGCACCTGGCATTCCTTATTCTTTATCACACTTGTCAAAGTGGCCAGATTCCTTAATAGTGAAGGAAGAGCCTTCTGCTGACACCTATAGAACTAGACTATGGAGGACTAATGAATACAAAGGATACATTTTGGTAAAGAATTGCTTTTGTTATCCATTATCTTTGCAATCCAATGCCATGTATTGCATTGGGCTTATGAGAAAGATAAATCACTAATACACTTTTGTGCCTTTTATTGAGAATTTCTTTAAACCTCTAATGCAAGAAACCTTTCCTTCATTGTTGTCTTTAAACATTGACTCCTTCCTGTGTCAAGGATATCTGCATTTGTTCAAGTTCTTCCAGGACATTTAACTGCTCTTACGAGATGGGTCTGCCCATTTATGAGATCAGTCCAACAAATAAAATGAAAGATGATTAAGTGGTAAAGTAAAAACAATACATACCATGAATCTGGTACTATGTCACCCAAAGAAGGTCTTATTTGAACAAAGATTTTTGTCAAACACTACTTATCTATTATAGTACTGTGCCAAAAAGCATATATATATATATATATATATAATTGGTACCATTCTACTACATTTATTTTTCTACCTTGATCTTCTAACTATTTACCTCTTGGCCTAAAGATCATGTTTATCCTTGAAAATGTTTCTTTATGACATTATTTGTAATATAGATAAACATAAGTTTTCAAATTCCTAAGAATTTTATTTAAACATGTAGAAAGTTTGTTTGCAACAAGATTCAAAAAGGGACAGTTACATGGGATTTAATAATGTCAAGTGCATTCAACTCTCATGTTAAAAACAATGATTATCTATTGAAGCCAAATAATGAAATAATTGACAAGAAATTAGTCAGGTGAAAAGCAAGAGGAAATAGGATCACCTAAGGAAAGTCCGTAAAATGTAAATAAGTATAAACTATGTATGTATTCCATATTTTTAGCAGATAGATTTCATTCAAAACAAAACAAAACAAAAAAGAATCAGTTTTGTCATGGAGGTGTCAAATTGAAGACTTTGCTTTTGTTGAAAGATGACACATGAGGTAACAAAGTCATGGTGGATTGATAAATAGAACATAAGAATCTTTGATTATTTATACTTTATTTTGCTTAAGTGTTAACATTATTTAGATGTGTATATTGTGATCAGAGAGGGTCCAGTGAGATAGAGAAATATTTTCTAGCAAAATATCTAGAAGACCACATTAGAGATTACTGCTCTGCCTTTCTCTTGTTTCTCTGAGGATAGAAGTAACAATTATGTGGAAATGTGCCCCCTTCATCATTCCCTTACTGCTCATTCTGAAGTCTTTGTCTACCAAAATTTAACATGCTACTCTTTATGGTCAAGGGTGACATGGACCAACCATGAGTATAGCATGACCTTTTTTTTTTTTTCCTTCCTCAAGTGGTTAAGGTTATATTCTGCCCCACCATAATCCCTCTTCCTGCAACCCCCTCATTTAAAAGGTAGCTGGTGAGCATTTGAGATGTAGTTTGTGATCATGAAACCATGGAGAAGTAATTGTTCTATATGGATATTGACTTTTCTGACCTGAGCTTCATTTGTTCAAATCATTAGTCCCATACTGACATGTATGCACTGCATGTATATATAGCTAAGCTATATAGCTGGTGGAAGTGTGTATGTATGTGTATTCATTATACATACACACATACAAGCAAAACCTTGGTTTAAATGAAGCTGAGCAACTTTTTCTCAAATAATTTGTGACTCAGGGATTTCAATATTATACCAATAAACTCAGTAACTTAATGATTACCAGATGGTCTGCAGCAGACTAAACCAAAAATAGATCTATTTGTACTATGATTGGTTTTCAGCACCTAAAACATTTTTTGTAATAAAAATAAAATATTGCAATGACTAAATATATTAAGAGAAACAGCAAGAATTTTGTTTGAGATTTAAACCCTTTTCATAAATCTGAAGCCTCTCTGTGGCCTATTAATTGAGTGATTTAGAGTTGGTGAAATGATGGCAAAATAGTTGTATACTCAAGGCAAAATTTGAAAATGGAGATGACAATCTAGTTTATCCTTTGCATCCTGGTTTGAGATTTTATTTTTCTCCTCATTTTTTCTCTTCACTAACAGTGACTTCTTAAATCTTGGAAGACATTATTATACCTTCTAATTAGTTGTTTTGACAGGAAACTTTACCTCTTTAGCAAAACACAGTTTGACACACTGTTTTCATACAACATTATAGGGAGTTTTCTTACTAGAAAAATTGACAACTAATGTGTAATCATAAAAATAATTATTTTTAAAATTTAAAATTTAAATCTATTTTTAACATCTTATAAATATAAATATAACCATCTTTTTCTAGACTTTGGATGAGCAAATTAATTTTCATTAATAATAGCTGACAAATAATTAACAAAAACTGACTCTTAAGAAGCATTATATGGTTCTGGTGTGATTGTCTGTGGCCAGTCATGCAAGATTTATATTCTGTGTGAATGAGTATTTTTGAGAGTGCTAGTTTTTTATAAGATGTAAAGTATCGGGAACTCTAATTCTTCTTAAAAGATGTCTAAATTGATATATTCACTTTGAATAACAATTTTAAAATGTCGGTATTGTTGAAGACATACAAATCCTAAAACTCTATATTCTACCACTTGATAAACTGTTACACATGTGTAGCATTAAACCCGTAGAATAATTTTCATATCCATAGTGTTTACATGGAGCTCTGGTAGTGTAGTGCCAAAGGCATTTGACTGCTAACCAGAAGGCTGGCAGTTCAAACCCACCAGCCACTCCTGGGAAGGAAGGCTGGATAAACTACTTCTGTGGTGATACCGCCTCAGAAACCCAAGGAGGGGTCACTATGAGTCAGATCTGACTCCATGGCTGTGAGCTTGGTTTTTTTGGTTATATTGTTTACAATATCATGAAAAGAAATATCCCAAATATCTATTTAAATAAACAGCTACCTCTTTATACCATAAAATGCTATACAGCAGTAAAAATAAGTTAACTATAGCCATACTTGTGAGTGAACCACTACCTGACTGAGAGATCACAATCAAATATAAAAAAATACAAACTATTTATATAACGTTCCAAAATATGGGAAACTAAGCAATTATTATTTAGAATTTAAATGTACATGTAAAACTATAAAGAAAATCCAAGAAATGATAAACATAAAAACCAGAATATGGTTGCTTTTAGGGGTAGGGTTTTGGGATGTGATCAAGGTGAGATAGACACATCAAGATTCCCAAAGTTATTGATAATATTCATTTCTTAAGCTAAGGTCTATGTGTGTGTGTGTTTATTGTAAGATACTTTTAATAAAAGAGATTAAGATAGGAAAGACTTTACCATTGTTGATTCTTTTCACCTACTTAGCTAAGATCACCTCCCTGAGCTACCCTTAGTTGTGTACAGAGTTACTGCTATTTACAGATTTGCAAAGTGAATTCTTCGAACTTTCTTCACTGCTAACCAGACACCATCCATGTTCCATATGTGGGCTAAATGATAAGGGATAGGGATAGAGGACAAAGCTCTGAAAGTAACATAAAAACAGTATACTGGTCTTTGGGAGAAATATCCAGCCCCTTTTTTAATACACTTCTTCTTTAAAACCCTACCTTCATCCCCTTTTATGTGCCCATTGATGAAAGGAAACAGAGGTACCAACAGTCATTCTGATTGCTGTTCTTCAGAACACAGAAGGAGGTCTAACTTAAAAAGACCTTAATGGGTTGTTTGCCTAGACCAAGCTTCAATTATTCCTCATGGAGGTGAATATGGAAAAGACTCCAGTGTCTTGAATAACCCCATCTAGATGCTATTTACATTAAAAAGGCATGACATTATATATTTCTGCATCAGTAAAAGTGACTTCTGTGAATAAAGCTGTAAATTGTGTCAGTAGCAACCATTTGAACTATATACATATTTTTCATTGATTCTTTCTGTGCATATTAGGTAGGTAGTGAAGCTGAGGATCCACAGAACTTGAACTGTTGCCAAATATTGTCATGTTTTGTCTACCTCTATTTTCTCATTATTTCAAATGTTTCTTCTCTGTGGGTCATGCCTTTTAAAAGAAAGCCTGGCTTTCACTCTTTACTAAGACCAGAATATTTCCATCAACAAACACCTGCCTGTGTCTCCTATGCAGGTGAGTTTTTTTTTTTACATATAGAGCCTTGTAACTGTTTCATCTACCTGAGTAGAAAACCTTGCATTAGCAATGTGTGCTTACAAAGCAATAAGCAATCATTTTTCAATACATTTGGTTGATGACCTGTAAGGCTAAAAAAAAAAATTATCATTAAATTTGATTAAATGAAAGCTATGAGATGCATATATTTAAAATATTCTCTCATCACCATGGAAAGCCTTTTGAAGAATTTACAATGACTACAGTTTACAACCAAAATGGTATTTTATTTAGTTGTTTGCTTTGGGGAAAGAATTTAAAATATAAAGGTAAATCACCTTCTGTATTTATTACTTGCATAATTGGTTTTATTTCTTCTTTGGTGTATT